CCCGTAGCCCTGTCCTATTGTCACAAAATAAGTTGCTTTACAGCCAGCATTGACCATAAACGACATCTCCCATAATGCATCTCAGTTATCTTACCCGCAAAATGACAGCTTGCTACCACTAGGTGGTGGTGCACAGGATTAAAAAATTAGCCAGCAGCCGGAGAATTTCACGGTGTAAAATCTCCTTTTCACTGCCTTTTCACCAGCTACTTGTGCTGCTCCAGTTGTACTGGAAAGTGGGAATTTTCCACTTACAAGTCTTAAATTCAAACTCGAACTGCCACCCCGGAGGGAATTCCCTTTTAGAAAGCRGGAAAGTTCAGAATTCAAGATGGCAGCTACTCGYCACAACTCACCAGTGCTGTCAGTGAATAAAACTCACTTCGTTTTAGTTTTATTGGTATTTCGGCGTTATTTTTTTCACATTTAGTCTGTCATAAACATTGTACTTTTCAGTCAAAAAGAAAAAAAACAAGTAGGTCCTCTGGACGGGTTCTTCTTTAGTGAAGAACTAAAGAAGTTCTCACTAAAGAAGAACCCATCCAGAGGACCTATGGTTTTTTTTTCTACCTGGATTACAGAGATGCATCAGGACATTTTGATGTATTTTTCAGTGTTTATAAGAGSACTCGTTAAAACCWTTCTAACCATTCAGGAAATTCTCTGCAGGAAATACCAGGTAGAGCTCAGATATTGTTTGTTAGTGGTGCTCAGTCWTAGCAATGAGAYGAAGAACGTGACGCTTCATGTTCGGTCAATGTTAAAGTTAACGTTAATTACAACTGACCCATRACACTCATGTGGCCCTCAGTGAAAATATGTTTGACCCCCCGATCTAAGCCATTTTATAGTTTACAGAACTTTGTCCCTCCTGTGGAAGTGATTAGATATTGCTGAGTTTAACAATGATTGCACTCTAAAGTGGTACGGTTACAACCTAGTAGTTTCCATCCAAATGAACAGATAAGAAATTTAAACTAAGCAGTGATTGACTTCACTATTTTTTAGCAGTCCAGTAATGGCTGCCAGATTTAGGCACAAAGTCAGGTTTGAAGATCTGAGTTTTGACAAAATGCTAACCTCTTTCACAATTTATATGCAGATTAGAGTGCTGTGACTGTAGGATTTGTTCCGTTTTGCTAAAAAGCAGACGCACACAGACAATATTTTATGCTGCTAAAATGCAGCATAAAATATTGTCTCCAAGAGCAGTTGTCGTCATCACTTTTTTTTCCAGTGCTACAACAAAATCCCACAAAAAGACTGAGCTATGTGAGCTGTGTGGGCCAATTCTGAACGCATTCTTGAAGTTTGGAAGGGAGTGAGAGTCTAAATGGAGACAAAATATCCAGCAAATTTCCCTTTTTCTGGGGTGTGGTGGACAAACTGTAGTGAGGCTGCTGAAAAGTTTTCTCTCAGCGTTTCAGCTCAGACTCACCACACAGTCATATGAAGACCTCGAGGAGGCTGAGAACAGACGAGGTGTTGTAACATAACTGCAAGATTAAGTAGAATAGCCGTGTTCCAACTCAGTGTGACTGCGGAGTGGAGTTATGTGACTTCAGTTGCAAAATGTTGGCACCGCTGCACCCAGAGCAGCTGCAGAGGTCTGCCCAAACAACTTGTGCATGTTTGGCTTTTGCTGTTTTTCCTCAGAGGGGGTCATTGTGGTCTACCAGTAACACAAATCTGCCAATGTATTTCATACGCTAGGTGGGATATTTCATCCTTATGGCTGCAAACTTTTTCTTGCGTGAAACGTAGGAAAAAAAAAGTTTTTTTTTTTTTGCTTTTTTCAGAGTTTATGCTCCACTCTGTGACTAATCAACTTGTTCCTGTTTGGTTCTCAGTTAAGTTTCCAGTTTTTGGAAATGATCCCAGTCCAGCTCAAATCGACTCTCTGGTATCCTTTTCTCTCTATTTCATCTTCTCTCTCGCTCGCTCTGTCTCTCTCTCTCTCCGTCTGTAGTTTGTTTTTTCTTTCAATTCGTCCTTCAAGCAGCACCAGAGGACTTCTCCTTCTTCTCCCTCTCCAGTCGGTGCTGTAAGTGTATATGAACAGAAGAAGCCATCAGAAAAAACAGGGGAAAAGCAGCTGTGTTAAAGCAGGGATGAAATAAAGCCTTTGATTTCATGGATCAATGCTTTGCAATTGATCACTCTGGCTTTTTATTGGAGAGACAGGCATGAAGATTACATGTCTGCTGTGATGAGGAAGTACAAGAGAAGCAGGACATAAAAGACCTTTTTGAAGTCAAAGAGTGTTTGTTGGGAACGAATAGAAAATTGCATTTGACACATACACACACCCGCATACTGTATATATGTAGGCACTAACAGAATTTTGAGCAGTACTTTGACGGCGAGCGTTTCTCCGGTGAGATCTCTAAGGCTGGGAGTTGAGGTGTTTCCACGTCTGACCCAGGAGCCCATCTGGAAGTCTTCAGAGGAGATGCGTACAGAAGACCCAGAGGTCTGCCATACGCTGCACAATTAGAGTCTCCCATCATTTATAATATTTCAGGAAAAAAAAAAAGGGCGGAGGGTGAAATTATGTCCATGTGCGTAACAGGAGAAAAATGTAATCCAGACAGCAAGTGATGCATTATTGTACAGCATGTCTGTAAGCACCCCACCCCGCTYCGCGCCCCCTCCCCCTGACACCATTTTCCATTGCGTGATTAGCTTGTCTACTGCAATACTCCGTGACGCTTTCACACACTTCTGAACACTCACGAGCTGTCACCTAATTCTGGGGAGGCGCAAGTGACGAAACCGTCTCCCTTGGCAGGCAGCAACATCTGCTTTCGGGGATGTTTTTCACTGCGTCTGAATGTGCTGGTGTTTTCCAGTGTTGTGGCTGAGGGCTCATGGGAAATATGCACTCTGGCAACCGGCATTCTGAAGGAGGACTAGGAAGGAAATGAGGGAGAGATCTCTGATTATCTCTGTGCAACATGATTGCTGAGCTTAATTTGTTTTTGATTATACATGTGGCTTCTGAGTAGTCCGTGATGTCGCTTGTGGCAAGATGGAAGGATTTTCTTGGTGGCTGATGATATTTTATTTGATTAAAAAAGGAGAAACGGGTAGATTGTACTGTAACAGTTGCTCTCAGGTACTTTAGGATTGATCACAAACTGAATTTGCAATTAAATTAACTGTCAAATTTAATTTTTTATATATATATATATATATATATATTGGCCATGAGAGTCTTTTCAGCCTGCGAAATGATATTTCCAGCTAATACAAATGTTTGTTTAGTTGTAAACACCTTCAAACTAATTTAAAAAGGATTTTGTGAATTGACGCAGAAATGCTTCAGTTCCGGACAGGAAGTCAGATCTATTGATAAAAGCTGAGAGGTGCGATGGTGTGTGAGCGTAGCAGTTTCATGTCTTTTAAGTGTGTATTTTTGTGCAAACAGATTTTCACATTTCCTGAAAGTAATAAATCCTTCATTTTAGTCAGCACCACTGAAGACGAGAGCCAAAAAATGGTTTTGTTTGTGTCTATGTGTGTGTTTGCTTGTCTGTAAAAAGAAAAAAAAATCTTGTGAACCACYGGATGGATTTTAATGAAACTTTCAGAAAAGTAATAATGTTTCAGCTGAGCACTTTTATTCCAACATCCAGCAACATTGCCAACTGTACCTTAAGGCCAATAAAATGCAGGTATAAAAGACTAGACTTGAACTCTTCTGAACGGGACATTAATGGGCCCAAATTTTTGCATCTGCATTAGTATCTATAAAAAGGGTAGATTATCAGTTGTCAATTACAATTTAGAATTCTTTATATGGCACTAACTTCACATTTGCTCAAGCTACAGACAAAAATGCACACTGACTGAAACTCACAACCGCTCCAAGAGTTAATCTGACACCATCTGGTTTGTGATGCAGAACCACCTGGGAGGCCGTTGTAGAAGTATTTGGGGAAAGAGCTTTCTCTTTCAACAAATGCTCTTAGTCACTGGAAAGCTTCATCTGATTACATCAATATAGTGTATAATGTTGCATAAACTGAATTTTAAGGAGCAGGWGGAGGCACAGTGTCATTTTCTTTTAATGAAGGAATACTTAAGCATAATCCATGCTGCAAACATCTACGCAAACGTCTTTAAATGCTTCTGTTGTTGACTGTCGTCACAGCTAAATCCTACCATTTGAGCACCAAACTGAGCCAAAAACAACCATCTTTAGCTATAAACGCATCGTACGGCAGGATAGCAGATGGGTCGCAAGTATTCTTCAACTAACAGTGGTTTTTGGTCAACGGGATTATCAGCAATGCTTGACCTGCACTTTTCAGAAAAAAAGAGCGTCACTTAGCTAATAAGTTGAAACCTGATCATTAAGTGGAAAGCAGCTCCAACCTGTTAGAAGCTACGCAGACTGGGCCTACATTGGCTAAATTTGTTCCAGTGCATCCCAGTTATGCCTGACTGCACCAAGACACAATAGATAGTGTCAAGGTCAGAAAGTCATTTCAGAGTAGAGAAGACAATCTGACCTGCTGTTAAAGGGATCCCCGATTAGTTGTAACATTAGACTTTATTTGATAAATATATATTTTAACTGAAAAATAAAGACTGGAAAAATACTGTAGGATGTTCA